ATTCTCAGCAAGTGAAGGTCATCTTACATTTCCTTAAAGATAATATATACCTGTATATTAGTCAGCTTGGGCTGCTATATGAAAATACCAGAGACTGAGAGACATAAACAACAGACATTTATTTTCACTGTTCTGGAGGCTGAAAGTCCAAGATTATGGTGCTATCAGATTTGGTTCCTGGCGAATTCCTGGCTTGTCGATGGCCGCCTTCTCATTGTGGCAGAGAGAGAGAATGCTCTGGTCTCTCTTCCTCTTCTTAGGAGGACACTAATCCCATCAGGAGGGCTTTGCCCTCATGACTTCATCTAAATCTAATCACCTCCCAAAGGTCCCACCTCCAAATACCATCATGGGGGACTAGGCCCTCAACACAAGAACTTTGGACATTCTGTTCATAATGTATGTGTGTTAGGGGGGTGTCAATTTTATCAGTTATACATCCTAACTTTTAAATACGTTCAGAATCATTCCATATACATTCTCCTTTAACCATCTCAGCTCAAAATAATATAAATAGATCTCACCAAGTCTGCAACATAACACCAGTAAGTATCTGGTCATTTGAGGCTAAGTTTAGGGGCTTGATTATCCCCAGTTAGGCCTGTTGAAAGGGTTGAAAGAGAAAATTTCAGTTACAAGGACACAGATTAATTACTCTCACTCTGAGCACAATTTAGTAACCTGACCAGGCAACCACTTGCCACTACTGCAAAAATAATTCTGTTTTTCATCTCTAGCTCCAGAACTCTCCTCCTACATGTGTATCCAACTCTCTGCTGGATCTCTCTGTCTGTCTGTCTGCCCGTCTCTCTCTCTGGGAACCTCATGATTCAGTTTTGGATTCAGTTGAACTCATTACTCCTCACCATCTCCTGCAAACTGAGGTTCCCCATAGCTGCTTACCTCAGTCGACGGTGCCATGACCCACACCAGTCACCCTGGACTCCCTCTGGTTAAGTGCCCATCCCCAGGAGAAGACTGAGAAAATGTGGTCAGTCTCTCCAGGACTCTCCCCCACTCCCTCACCAAGTGCCCTCAGGATTCCTGCACTAGCCTCCCAGCTCACCTTCTGCCCCTGCCCCTTGACCTTCTTGTCACCCAGCCCCCCTAGTGGTTACCAAGTTCTTTCTAAAGCACAATATGATCATGTCATTCTCCTGCAAATTATCCATCTTCCACACAGCTTTCGACATGAAGATCAGACTCCCCAGCTCAGCGCCCAAACCCCTACACTCTCAGATACTGCACAACCTTGCCTCCAGTCCAAGCAACTACTGTTAGTGCCCTTTTCAAGCATTCCAGACTCCAAATGTATGCATTATGATTGCACTGCTGTCATTTTAAAAGTAATGAAAAAGAAAAAAAACGAAACTACAGAGGTGCAAGAGGAACCAAGTATCCACCCTTTCCTTTACTCTTTAAGTCACATCTTCTACAGCAAGAGTCAAGTGTTATAAGTGCCAGACCAGACGCTTCCCAGGACACAAACTGGGTTTTATAATCCAGTGATCAGATCTGACCTTTGATTTCTTCTTTGCCTTGCTAAGACAGAGAAGTCTTCCCTCTGAGAAAATTGCTGGGTTTTTTTGTTTTCTTTAGTTTTCTTCCACAGCATGTTGGCTGGTGGTTCTGCCTCACCAGAGCTCAAACTGGGCGCATACTTTTATAAAGCACAGAAAGAGGCCCCCTCTTCTCCCTTATCTCTATAGAGGACCCATAGGACTGACTGTCCACTGCCACCACTTTCAGCCAGATTATTTCCTTCTGATCAGGCTGGCTTGTGGAAGAGAAGCACACCTGGCATGCTGATTTTCCAATGCAGGCTCTTTTGAATCAAAAAGTGAGCTTGCACGGTTTGCAGAGGTCCTTCGCACACAGGGCTTGCTTCTCCACCTACAAGGTGAGCTCTGTGAGAGGAGAGGCCTGCTCTTGGTTCTTGCTGTGTTACCAAAGCCCAGAACAGAGCCTGGCCTATGGGAGAGGCGCCATAGGTATTTGCTGAATGACATGATAAAAAAAAAAAAAGGAGGGGGGGGGAGAATGAGCAAACAAATAGACATTCTTCCCCAATTAGAAAGACAATATACGGCATAGTTCCCCAGCTCAAAAAATATTGTTTTCCTAAGAATGCCTTTTGTTCACTCTGCTCTTACGTACAACCTTTGTAAAAACTGAGCAATGTATCATTAATCTCAAGAGATACTTTAAAGTTGCTTTTTGGAATAAATTCTAGAGATTAGATATTTACTTACTATTTGTATCTTTCTAAGAGCAGTAAGCACTGAGTAAAACATTGTGTTTTAGAATTCCCAAGACAGGCACTCACCATGTCTACCAATAGTTTCCTTATTTTTCCTCAAATACAATTTGGATATGTACTTTGGTGAGACCTGGAACCAGCCATTGCAAGGGGGGAGTGAGGCCTAGACTTGTAAGCCACACCTGTGCTCCAGCCTTCGGATCCACACAGGCCTGCACTGTATATTGCCTAGAACTGGAGTCCCAGAAAAGGCTCACAAGAATGGGCCAAAAGCATGCAGCCTGCAAATTCTAGAAAGACCAAACGTTTTGGGGTGTGGACTGCCGGGCCATGGGTACAGCCTCAACTCGGGGTCTGCCATAAGCAGCCATTACCCATTTTAAAATTACTTAGCCTTGCATTCCACCACTTAGAATGGCACTGCTTTTTCCTGGGCATTTGAAATACTTGACAACCATCATTAACGTTTTCTGAGCATTTACTTAGCCCCAGACACACCACCCTAAGTGCTATACAAAAGCAATTACAGTTATTCTGCAAAGTGATTATTTGACTTGAACTCTTATCACCACCATTTTACAGACACAGAAACCAAGGGTGAGAGAAATTAAATAACTTGTCGAAGGTTGAGATAGTGACACCTCCGGGAATTAATTCAACAGCCTTGGGTCTCCTATTTTTGGTCTTTGACTTTGTCAATTATTTGCAATAACTAAATTGAGAAGCTGTATACATTGTTCATTAAAAAAAAAATGTACTTTTCTATATGTTGTTTTTCTATCTTCTACCCTGCTCAAACATTATAGGCAGTAAAATCTCTTTCATTCATAAGTCCACACATCTCCGTAGGCAGGTGCCATCAATTTTGAGGTAATCCACATGGATTAACAGTATACATCTCTTTTTCTAGAAGGCATCACTTTGCACTCATTCACAAAGATCCTTTTTTCTTATATAGACAAATTACTGGTTCATGTTTCATGACTGAAATTATATTCAAGAATGTTCATTTGCAGTGTAATTATTCTTCCTAATTGGACTGGTCTGAAGACAAATGATTTCCACTCCACACCCCCATTATCTCCAGCAATACATAATATCTTCTTTCTGAAATAAAATATTTGCTGCACCCTTTGCCAACCACAACCAGCCACACTACCTGCTCTCTGTGTGACCACCCAGGAAAAATAGTATTATAACATAAGGCTTCTGGTAGTACTTCAAACCTCTTAAACATTATTTCATCAGAATCAGATTTCCGACATAGATTAATAACAATCCTATCACAGTATGACAGAAAAAAAGAAATGAAAATCTTAGGTTTTATTTCTTTTCTCCATATTTAAAATATTTAATCTCCCTCATTTCTTTTCCCTCTTTGAAACATTTAATCTTTTCATACCTTTTCTCTAAAACATTTCATTTCCCCACCAGCATGTGTTCCCTATCTCTTAAATTTGAAAGAAGTCGTTTCAAAGAGGACCAATAGGAAAGAATCAATAAAACCCAGAAAAAGCAAAACCAAAGAAATTAACGTCCGATCGTCACTTAAACCTGGAGGGGGTGGAGCTCTCCCACGAGTGGGTGAAGCAAAAGCAATGAGCAGAGGAGAAAAATCCCTTCAAACTCGGTTACTCCGGTTTAACTCCCAGGACGAGGTTCTAACAGCTCCCCCTACCCCCACACCTCTCCTCCCTCTGGCTCCAACACACACTCGTCTATAGGGGCCGCTTTGAGATTTCAAACAGTTCTACTTTCACATGTGGGTCACTGATAGCAACCTATGTGCATGCACACAATCACAGTAGAGAAAACGGGAAATACAGGAAATGCCCCGGGTGGGAGCGAGGATGGCGGGGCGGGGGGCGGCGATAACCCTTCGTCTCTACTCCCATTTACTCCCATTGAAACAGCTCATTGACGCTCATGAAACTCACGTCCCTCCTGAAATAAGAGAAATGCTGAACGGGGTTGAAAAAAATCTCTTTTGCGTTTCTGGGTTCAAAGAACACTAGACCGCTGAGTGGAAGGGAAAAGAAGAAAAACTTTGTGCCTAAAAACATTCAGAAACACACACAGAATCTCCTCTCCTGTCCTTCATCCCATCCCATGGGCTCAACTCACTCCATCCTAGATGTGGTCTTCCCTATTCCACGCCCACCTCCTTGAGCCCGCACCCCAGATCACTGCACTGCCCACAAAAATGCAGCCCAGATCAGAGAAGCAGCTGACGTCTATGGCCGGCGTGCCCCACACGCCACAGACCAGGCCCCGCGGGAGTGACCATGGGGCGGCCCCCCAGAGGCTGTACCAGACGCACGGAGCTGCACCCAAGACCCGCGCGCCGCCGCGCCCGCGGGCGCCGCGGGTCCAAGCCCGCCAGCGGCGGCGGGAGAGCTGGGCTCGCGCCGGCTCCCGAGCAAATCGCTCTTCCAGGCACAACTTTTTTCCACGTCTGCTGCCGGCTGCCGGGGCAGTGAGAGCAGAAGTAGCCGTTCCCTCACGTTCCCAGCGTCCACCACCCGTCCCGCTGCACCTCCCCGGCCCGGTCCTCTTCCCTTCCCGCAGGCTCGGTGGGCGCGGGAGCGGAGTTCCCGCGCCAGCCGCCCTGCACGCAGCCAGGTCTCCGCCAGCGGCGACGG